ACTGTATTTGGCCTGATCATTTGTGTCATCGCAGGTACTCCCCAGTCTGAATCATCGCGCCAAAAGAGAACCAGAGTCCTCACATCATCAACTATAACCTCAAGCCTAGAAAGTTGATCATCCCAAAGGCCTTTTCCATCAACCATGTGTGATTTGTTCCAGTACACAATGGTCAGCCCATACTGTATTTGGCCTGATCACAAACTAATTTAAAATTTAAAATCCTAAAAATAAGAAAAAAATTGAAGATAAATATAAGGATAGTTATAGAATAATAAAGATTCTAAAAATAAAAATTAATTATAATTAAATTAACCTATTATTTGATAATTTTAAATTTAAAATATTTTCCAAATCTTATACCTCAAAAAAAGTTAAATTTGTTGCTTTCTAATTTTATTCCCAACAAATTGTAACCAAATTTGCTGCTTCATTTATATTGGGTTCCGGTTGGGATCCACTAGAATTTTGATGACTACCTCTTTGAACATTTTGGCCATGCTTAATCAGCCATAGATTTGATTGAGGCTAGAATTCTTGAATCAGTTCATTGAGTGTTCCCTAATGAGCTCTCACAACTTTAACAATTAAGACTTAGACTGGATCCCTTGATGTCCCACCCTTATTTACATTATTCTTCCTTGCTAGAAAAAGATTTGTTGTCGAATTTGCATTGCTTCCGGTGATATTGACTCCCTCAAAATGCTCAGGTTTTTCCGGTATTATATCAAGCAAGAGTAAAACTTTCTGAGGAATTTCGGACATGTCATTTTCATGCAGCTCCCTTCATCTATAATCATGTTACAAAGTTATCAAAGACGGGACTATTATCATAAACTTCAAGTTTAGGAATCTCGAACTTTATCGCGGTATTCTTTCTTTTGTTTTTTAAGATATTTCAATCGATTCATCATTTCGTGACTAGTTCGATTCGGGACGAGTCTCAGGATTATGACTTTAAACCCTTTCCAAAAATAATATTGGAGAGGATCGAACATATGCTCTCATCCCCACCTTCTCAATTTCTTAGCGCCAACTGAGTTATCATCATTTAATTATTATTGCAATATTTAAAAGTGAACCGAGAGAGTGAGCTCCCTCTATCTATACTCTTTCTGTGCTAGACATGAATTTATCTATTCAAACCAGTGTTAATAAAATCAGACTGACCCAGCCGGGTCGACCCGGAACCAGTAAATCGGTCATATAACCGGTCCGGTTGAAGCAACGGACCGGCCATGCATCAGAACCGATGCGACCCGGCCGGTTTTCATGAAAATCGGTGACCCGGTTGATTAACCGGTGACCTGGCCCGGTCCCAAAAAAAAACTCCAATTTTTTAAAAATAAAATAAAATCATAATAGATATATTTGAATATTTTTTTGCTTATTGACTTACATAAATTATGTAGCTACAACAGTAATATTATCTCAATTATGCACTATGCAGAAAATTTTGATTTGATTTATAATTAGAGATGTCATTTTCTGAACCTAAAGCCTCGTATCATGATCATTATATTTTTGTTTAATCCTTTATTGGATAATAATATGTGATTTATTATTTTTATATTAAAATATTTGAAATTTTTATCATTTTTTTTAGATATTTTAGTATGTTTGTAATTTTTTAATATAAATTATAAAATTGCATATAATTACTGGGTCATGCGATTGAATCAGTGATCCACTGGTCTAACCAGTGACCCAATACCTCGACCGAGTCAATGTCGGAGTCAGTTTTAATAACATTGATTCAAACATTTGAGCGAGTGAGCATTTCATAAAAATTGCGATAAATACTTTGTTTATTACAAGTTTACAATATTGAACGAGTGAAGGCTGAGTTACAATAGTTTGAAATATGTTTTTCTAATATTTTTTAGGAAAAAATATTTCTCCAGTTAGCGGAGATAAAGTTATCTCCAGTAAGCTCAAAATGACGTCATTTTTATATTATAAAATTAAAAATTTATAATGATAAAGACTAATGTAACCCTGCAATATATTAGAATTACAAAAATATCTCATTTTCGCTCCAAAACAACGTCGTTTTAGATTCATCGGAGATAACTTATCTCTATTAGTTGAAGAAATCCTTTACTTTTTTTATGGAAAAAACTATTATCATGTTACATAAGATAAGTTTTCCCTTCTACACATCATTCGATAAATGTGCCATTTTTTTTTTTTCAGGTGGTGGAGTCCACAAATTTGTCTCTATAACATAAAATAATTTATCTCCTTTAACATGAGATTAATAAAACTTTTTTTATTGCATTGATTCATAGCTATGATTCCACGGGAAATGAATCATTTCATTTGAATTTTCATACAATAAGATAATGTAAAAGGTAAGACGAATGTAAATCTTAAATAAAATTACACAAATTTTGAAAGACAATGTTACTTTTATATAAGCAAGATATTCTTATATTGGTGTAAGAATAAGAAATTTTACATCAAATTTTGATCATTGATTTACTTATATTTAATGGTTTAAATATATAATAAATCAAAATCGTTAGATATAAATTTAATAAAACCAACAATCAAACTTGAGAGTGTAACTTATACGATATAAAATAAGGAAAATATGTTTGTCTTTTAAAGGATATAACTTTGTGTTGTTTTAGACCATAACCGTTGATTTCCGTCAATCAACGATTATTACTTATTAGGTCAAACTTATTGATTAATTAGTAATTCGCAATAAAATTCAATAAATACAAATCATTAATTAATGAGAATCAACGATTAAAATCTAAAATAACACAAAATTATATCCTTTAAAAACATAAACATTTTTTTCCATAAAATAATCCTCACCCATTTTATATTTATTTCTGTTATTCATTTGCTAGGTAGTTAATCTACCCTTTAGCGAGAAAACTTCAAACAACACCTATGATAAGAGAGAAGGAATCCTCTAATTTTCAATTAAGACTTTTCTTCTGATGGGACAGGTTTGGATTGTAGCCATTGCACGCGCCCTTTGAAGTAATCATTAAAAATAAAATAAATTTGTATGACTTCTTTTGGAGCAGAAGAATACAACACAACATAATTATTAAATTAGAATAACTTACGGTCTAGTGGATCATGCTTGTCTACATTATGCAAGCACAACTTGGAAATGGAATCTGTTATTTAAGATGATTATGTAATATGAGATAATCATAATCATACAAAGATAAATTAATAGTGATGATTTATAATTACCTATTTCAATATTTATTTTTCTCTTTTCGTTATTATCATTGATTCGCATTTAAATAATTATGATTCTTTCACAAAACAAAGTCATGTTAAATAATATATGAGAGAATTCACTCTCTTTTCATGTTAAATATTCGCATATGTGATCGAAATTTCTAAAGTTCTCAACTATCAAGGACAGCATATGGTTTCATGTTTAATCTTTCAAAAAGTTAAACTTTATTCATTTTGGATCTAATAGCTCATGGTCTCTAAGATATCCTAATTATCAAAACTGAAATTCAGAAGCATATTTAGTTGTTTTTTCTGAACTAATCTTTATACGGTGTTAGAATGACTTCATTTAATATATATACATATATAATTTGGACTAATCTCACAACTCAATATTCGGCCAGTCACTAAGCCTCAATATAGGGGTTGAATTTATACATCCCTAAAGTGAGACAAAGGCTCCTTGGTTATATCACATTTTTATCTCATGCACACCATCTCACACACACAAGTGAGAGCCTGCTACCTTAATCTCCTCCACCCCCATGAATACCCTTCTTCACCTTTGAAGACACACCTTTTGTACACTCTACTCTCTTTATTCCGGCGGATTGTAGCCTCATCAAAACCACCGTATCCTCACACTCGCGTCTAATTCTCATCAAAACCTTTATTAAGACCCATTCACCAAGTACGTCAACACTTAGGTTTATGTTTTTTTTTTAAGGTTTGATATTTCTCATATTATAGAAAATAAAATTATTTCTTATATATATATAAAAGTATATGCGGGAGAAAATAAATATGGATAAAAAGACACCAAAAAGTCCAAAACAGAGCCCTAGCCTCTTGCTGCATACGACCCAAAGATACAAGAACAAATATAGCACATTTGTCCACCCCTAGAATCATCTCGGTGATTTTACTTATAAGAATTTGAGGTAGGATATTCTTACTACCAAATGTCTTTACTATCAATCTACCACCATTTTAATATAACTATGTACTTTGGAAAATATATTAAAAGCTGTTTTTTTTTTCTTTTCAAAAACTTTTAGAGATTGTCAGCTGAAAAATGGAATCCAATGGTAATTAGAATAGTAATAGATTGATAGTAGAAATATTTGATAGTAAGAATATTCTACCTCTAAGAATTTTTCTTCTGCCAATATTTTTCTTTACTGAAATAATACTGGTACGTAAGGTGCAAGACACATAAGTCACAAAAATAGGGGGAGGCCATTGATGGTGGGTGAACAGAAAAAAGAGAAAGAAAGTAAAGAGTAAATATTCAGTGATCTAGAGAATTATGTGAATTATAAAAGAAAAAATTATAAGTGGCATTATTTTCTGTATTCTTCCCTTAGCTGATTAAGTCATGACAACTTAACCATATTTTATGTCACGAGAAACTCCTCAGGAGAATGTCCATCTATAATATATTAGCACACACTATTTCAGACCTATGCATGTACGACATTTGATGTGTCATCATATGCCAACAGCACACAAATAAAAGTTTTGCAGCCCTCATTTTATAAGACTAAAATCCTACCAGAATATTTGAGTGTTCAAAGTTAACTTGAATGGCCAATTTCTTAAAACATCAACAACAGTAAGGATGAATTGCGTTACCAAGAAAAACTAACACTGATTGAGCAAAGCAATAGGAATCAGTTCTCTGGTTTTTTAACTTTAAAACATAATACACATCCTACTAATGCTACCTGTAATTTACTTCGTGGTTGTCGCTTATATAACCAACTAAAAATGTGAATTGAGCTTCATTTCAAAATAGATTACAAAACCAATCAGTCTGGCTCACCCCTAAAATGGCCACCAATTGAGACACAAGATACATGAACTGCATAATAAATAAATAAATAAAGGAACCATTTTTGTGATTTCATCGTACCCCTTTGAGGTTACAAAAGAAGATTCATGCTACAAGAAAATTGAAAAGGTGATATCACCAAACCAGCAACAGACCTGCCTATATCCCCCATTGATCACCTGACAAGAAGACCAAACAAAATGACAGAAAGGGGAAAAAAGGAGATTGCATAATGCCTGCATGAGTATTGATTGAGAATTGTGGTTCGTATTCCTGTACAAAAGATTTGACCAGAGTACCAAAACAGGTTATCAGCAAAGAAGTATGAGAAGTCATTATGCTATTGATTCAGGCAGAGAGCCTTCACATCATCTGCCTAAGAGCCACATCAAGTATCCCAATAGAAATTTTTGGTTGGTAATGTTCATCTGTATCCACTTCTTCAATTTCCTGGCATAGGAATGTGAAACTATCAATATTAACTGCAATCATGAAACGGTGTTGATTTTGGACAAAGAGTTTGCGAGCATTAAAAACCATAATTTTTCAGAAATAATAACAAAAATCATATATAAATTATAATCACACAACTTGCTGTTTTTTCATTCCAATCCAGATGTTACTGTCTTTAACCAATTTATCCAGATGTCAAGATTAATATGGTATCTAACTTCTAAAACCATTATTGCTTTTATTACTTTATTTTCAAAAAATGATTACAAATACAGGCAAAGTGATGAATCAACTAATAACGGCATTAAACATCAAATTTAACCTTTATTCTGTCTGAAAATTAGTAAAAATGATATGCACTAACTGCCAATACATGGAAAGATGCACAAAAAGCCTTCTTAGCAAATAGGAATAGGAAAAAGACAAACTATAGGAAAGGGAAAACAAAATTCCACATACATTATCAGACATAATGATGTGAATAAAACAAATTCAGTCACCTGAACAACATCCTCTCCCTTAATGACCCGCCCAAACACTATAAGCTTCTCATTTAGATCTGGTATTGGTGCAGTTGTGATGAAAAGATCAAATCCTTTGTTAAAGTATTTGCCCTTGGAAGTTCCAAGCATGAACGCTTCATGTTTCATACTAGTTAATCATCACAATATTTAGTAATTAGAAATATTATGCAAGTCACAGATGGATTATCACTACAATGGTCTATGGATATCAGAAACATCAAATTGCAAAAACCAAAATGATCAGAAAACCTTGTATATTTCTTTCCTCTCAGGTTCCAATCTTCAGTAGCTCCTGGCCCTTGGTTATGACTTGCCTGAATCACATAGTGCTTAATTACTTGGTGAAAAAGCATCCCCTTGAAGTGCCCTTTTTGACTGAAAACACAATTGTAGTTTGGGCAGGAAGCATAAGCTAGATTCGAAGAAATTTTATACAACAAATCAATTTTACAAAAACAAACTACTAACACAAATTGATGCCAATAAAAGCTAGAGAAATACTACATCCATTGAGCTGTACTGCACTCTAAAGGTTGCTTCACAACCAGCTTTGATCTCTCCAGCCAAGACAGAACACATTCATTTCAGGCTGCGGATGGTATGCTATATCCAGCAATATAGCAACACTCAAAGTTTAGCACTCGACTCAGTTTTCAAACCTGTCACATGGCTTTATAATACCTCCCACATAATCTCTGACAAGGAAGTCTACTCACACAAAATGGGAGTGACCTTGTAGAAAGCCTATAACAGGTAGTGACTAGACTTATGGGTCTATGATTCTTTAACTAAAAAGACCTATCCTTCTTAGGTACTGGAGTGATGAAACGGGAATTCATGCTTACCCCAACAGCTCCAGAAAAAAGCAACAGCGAAACCGTTGTTCTTGGAGCTTTTTCCTTATCCATACTCCAAATAGCTCTCTGAACCTATAATGCACTGACACTGACACGGGACACGACACGATACGCCGACACGTTAATTCTTAAAAATGTCATATTTCGACACGTTGGGACACGTTTTGATATTAAATAATAATTTTAATATATATAATATAATTTATATTTAATACATATAACAGCCCATAATAAGCCATATAAACAATCAAATATTCAAATTTCATAACATAAATATAAACAAAAATAATTTTTCGTACCTTATTAATTTTTCATGTCAAATTTCGTAACAGAAAAAATTGATTTATCAATTATTTTTGTATATTTAGTTAATAAAAAAAAAATGTGTCGGAACGTTGACTGTTTGTCCAACAAAGTTGACTGCATGTTGAAAAAGCGTGTCGGAACGTATCGGAGCGTTGACCGTGTGTCCCAAAATGTTGACCGCGTGTCGGAACTTGTCGGTGTCCGACACACATTTTTTGAAAAAATGTCGTGTCCGTGCTTGCTTGCTCTGAACTTCCTGCTCTTCAAAGGGCCTTTCCAACCATTAATCATCAACCCTTATCCTGAAAAAAAGGACACCAGACTTTCAATAAAGAGCCTGTGGGGGTTTTACTCTGTAAATAAAGCCATATGGAAATGGATAGTTTCTCTTGCAATCACTCAAATGTCTCTAATAAGACTCCCATCCTCAAGAGCCAACCCCTTAGTATGACTTTCCCTTCTTCTTGCTCCATCATCTAACCAAATGAGCCATGAGTTCTATTGCTCATTGGTTTCCACTCTGAGTAGCACCTCTTCAAAATCAATCCTAAACCTGACCATTTGTTTCAAAGAAAGAGGTCGTCTGATTCTAATTTTCCTAAAGAATAAGGGTCTGTTTGATTGTGTTCTGGTTTTTTTTCTTTGTTAAAACTATTTTGTAGAATAGTTATGGAAACAAGTGTTTTCTATGTTTTTTTTTGTTTTAAAAGTTAAAAGTTAAAACACAAAACAAAAACAACTCAGACATGTTCTTTAAATTTGATTCTAAAAACAAGAAAACAGTTACAATTTTTAATATTTTTTTTACAAAACAGGCATCAAACGAGTTTTTTTGTTCTGAAAACCAAAAAACTGTTTTTCGAAACAGTATTCAAACAGGGCCTAAATCTCTGATAATCATAGAATCTCCTCTGTTCTAGTCCCAAGGTTTCCAAAAACATTTTGATTCGAGTCTTTTAACCTTAAGCAACTCCAATTTGTCACAAAGTAAGGACCTTACCACTGCTCTGCTCTAGACGCTTGCCACACTTCCTTAAGAAAAGGAGGAAAGATGTTCAATCACAAGTTCTCAAAGAGGAAAAGGGTGGAGCCAATTTGATATTGCCAGAGATAAAAATAATGGGGTAATGATTAAAAAAAGGAGCAGTAAGGTATCATGCACAAACAAGTCCATGATGTTTTAGTGCAAGAAAAAGCAGTATGCTCTCTAGTAGCTGACCATGTAAAATGGGGATAGGTATTAGATAAGGGTATGGATAGGTCCCTTAGTTTACAAGCTTAAAATATGGTCATCAAAGCTCCTCATAGTAGAAGTATCTGACCACCTTCCAGTTTTTCATTATGGATCTCAAGACATTGAAATTGCCACAAGATGCCAAGAAGGAGCACAAAATCCAAAAACAAAAATTTGAACTACCAGAAAAAAGAGTGTAACCTAGGTCTGGTCGGATTGTAGGCTGAAGTGAATCACAACTGCGCTCTTCCTTTCACATCAACCAAGACCAAAACCAAGAAAGTCTAATAAAGGGAATCAACTTTTGAAGCCACTCCAGTGTCCCATAAGACTAGCATCTACTGAATGCCTCACAAGAGGAGAAGCATTCCCCATCTCTGAACCTCCAATACATAAACTTCTAACCAAGAAACCATCTACCTCCTCTAATATAGTCTATTGAAGCTGAATTATATCGGCAATAGCCTTAGAGATTATGTCCTTAACTTTATTACATTTCCTTGGTTCCCCTAAACTTCTAACATTAAAACTAAAATCTTCAAGAGAACAGTTTATTCCGTACTCTTCCCTTCAAACCTCCATAGTTTACCAATTTTGCAAGTTCCTTCTATCTTTCATGGCATGGTGTTTTCTAGTAGCTTATGAGTTTGGATATTCCACCACAAATACCTCCACCCCATAAGAATGGACCATGCTTAAATTTAAGGAATGAACCAAGAGATGTAATTCTCGGTGATACCTCATTGCCCAGCTACTTAATGGCCATCACATTTTCCTTCAACTGGAACCCTTTATGATCACCATTCAAAATCAGAAAACATCTCGACCTTGGCACGGAGTGGTAGAATGCAAACAGACACAACACCAGGATACTTATCCTAAGTTCCTAGCTAAGACTACCTAACCAAAAAATAAAACCCAAAGATGGAAGATCATGAAGAGAAATAAAACAGGGAAAATCAGATGAAGGGAGGGACAACTGAAAATATAAGTTTAAGAAACTAATCCCTGTTATCGCCAAGCCCTGTATTTGTCAAACTGCATTACCCAAAATGATTAAAACTGACAAGCTAGCAGAAAGGTGACCAAACAATTTGTGATTGCTCCTTTGGAAGAGCATTACTCGCACAAAGAGGAGACATCCTAGTAAGCTGTTCTTTCTCCTTAAGGTGAATTTGTTATAAGCTTATGGCTGCAGCAATTCTTGTAGCTTCTCAGTGAGCAACTCGTCCTTAGACGCAAAAGTATCCTCCTCCACCAAAAACATTTGAATCAGAAACTGATTGTTCACTAGAACCAGACAAAGCTCAAGACCAATACATTTTTTCTGTCGAAAAATTACAGCAACAACAACCTTCTTCCTTGTCACTCATAGGAAGCAACTCTCCTGCTGATAAAGGTCTCATTGAGCATGATTCTGAAGAACAGTTGTCCCCTGAGTTTCTTCTTGACAAAGAGTGAGTTTCTTAGCAATTAAAATATTTTTATTCCATTTATTGTTTAGACAGAATTATTCATAGATATAATTTGAGTCCTTCACTTAATAGTTTAGGTACTTTAACAAGTAAAAAAGAAACAGGTAAAATGGACCATCAGGCATTCAGGCCAAATATTTGAGCACCGTTTTGTTGGAACATTGCATTATAATCTAAAACTTTTCCACTAAGTACTTGAGTTTCTTTTTGTCATCAACTTTTCCAATTCGGTCCAATTCTATATACTCGGTCCAATTCTATACAGTATATAGAATCATCTAATTGAAGGCAGAAAAGGATAATGATATATCTATTGTGAAGGACAATTTCCATCTTCAATGGCAGCTCCACAAGATAAGAGGTTCAATATAAAAATTTAACCAAAAAGTGAGTCAAATTTTGGGAATCAAAACATATTAGATTAAATTATCGAGGTATGCATGAAATTCAATTAGAAAATCAACATTACTGAATTATGCTACAAACATAAGGCTTTTACACTAATTCAGTCAATTTTAATATTATTTGAGAGTACACACCAAACAAAAAAAAAACTCGGAATACTCTAATTACCCAAAAAAATAAACTTTTTCATTTAATGTTCCCCAACTCAAATCACAAATCTAACAAAAAAAAATGACTGAAATCACCAAAAATAGAAGAATGGCTGAAAAAAAAAAGAAACAAGAGTTTGCAGCAAACAAACCCTAAAGAATTCAGTGGCTACCATTTCAAATTGTGGAAGTATAGACTGCATAAAGGGAAGACCAAGTACTCACCATAAGTCAATGAATTCATCAACAACTTCAGGGGCACTTTCCTTGTAAAGTTCTATTATTATAGAACCTTTAGAGGTATTTAAAACCTATGAAAAGGAAGAAATAAGTAGTCGTTTTCTACGATCAAATTTCAAATAATAATTTAAATTGATATGCATTCTAGACATTATTGAAAAATCAATCCAAGATGATTAGAAAATGTGCAAAAGCAATCACTGCAGGCTGGTGAATGAAAGCTTACAGCGTATCCAGGTAAATCAGATTTCTTGGATTCCACAAAAGTATTTTCATCCTACCAAAAAAATAGTTTCTATAAGAATGGCAATGAATATCATTAGAATAATCATGGATCTAGAGAAAATAATAATAATTCTATTTACAAATGAGTTCCAGCAACCCTATCTCAATGGACGAAAATAAAACTCTCACATAATATGCACCAAAGAATAATAAAAGGAAGGAAACACATGGCAAGTGTACAAGAAAACAAGCAAATATAAAATTGCCAAGAGTTATGAAAACCCTTTATAATGTAGTTTAAGACAGTACCTCTGAGACTGATATGTGGTTCTCTGGTTGAAATCTCGTCCTAAATGTACATAAGGTAATGAATTATTAGATAACAGAAAATCCTCTTCAGAAGTTCATCCCATGTGAGAAAATGGGATATATCAAGTTAAAATTAAAATTCATTGCTTACTACAATAAAAAACCATAACACAAATGATTGTTCCATATAAACTCATCTTGTTAAGAGTTTAAATCACTTAACAAATGCAACAAAAAAATGGAAAAGCTTTCGTACATCTTGACAAACAAATTTTTTCTTCTGCCCAAGACAGAGCATTAAATAAAGTGACACCACAATGAAGATAAGGGTTCAATCACCGCAAAATATGTGGAGAATTCAACCAACAACAACAATAACCAATGGCCAAGACTAAAATAAAGCCTGAAGCAATAGCATCCCAAAAATATTCACATTTATGTTGAACACATCCAGATGATTCTCGCACAAGCAAGAGCTAAATTTCAACAAGTACTAATTTTTATCACTTCTTTAACTGTTTTTTGTTTAGGAAGCAAAAGATATAATACATATCATTTCTCACACTCAGAACAGTAAACCTTTTACTAACCTGTTGGACCAATGCCTGTATGTAGCAAACAGGAAAAACGCAAATATGAAAAGAATTAATGAGTAAAATACAATAGACGTGGCACTGATGCGGGAAGGCGCCTTCTTCCTTTTGCTTTGCTGTATAAGAGTTTGAGGTTTGATCCTCCCCATTAAGCCTAATCATCAGTTTCAATGGTCATTAATTTCCAGTCAATAAATCAAAAACAAGCCCTCCAAATGAAAAACCAATCAAACAAAAGAAAATGATGATGAATATCAATAATAATAGGAAAGTAACTACTCATTTCATTCAATATAAATATAAGCCAATTCTTATCATCAACTTATAAACATGAAAAAGCAAAAACCAACCAAATCCCATGACACAAAGTTTGAAAATTCCAATAAGGTTAAAAGGTTTGAGAATTCCCAGGTAAGAATTCCTCTCAGCCTGTTTCCATAGCAAGAATCAATGACAGTTGCAACAACTAAGAATTGGGTCTCAAAAACCAAAACTAGGCAAAACACTGTGTTAAACAAATAATAATAATAATAAAAAATACCCATTATTTAGCAGAACTCAAATATGGCATAATTCTTCTCCTTCTACTAGTATAGTTTGTAAACAAAACAATAAAAGTGAAAATCAAATTATATAACCTGAATGAATGGTGAAAGGTGCTTGAATTAGAAGGAAACACAAGTCGAAAGAGGGTTTTGGATTTGTAAGCAGCACCAATTGAAGGATGAGGAAAGCACATCAATGAGAACGTGTGCTTCTTTTCAAGCAAAACAGGAACCGAGTTTGAAAGATAAATTCGCTCTACTTGATCAAAATTGAAAACAGAGCGCTACCGTTTTAACTTTTTTTTTTTTATTCCTTTTTTATTTGTTCTTAACATTCATGTCGAATTAGTTTATAAATAATAATATTTTATTTTCTAATGTTATTAATTTAGTTTTAATATACACTAATTTTCGGACTAATATTATCCAATGAATTAAAAAAAAAATACTGTTTCTAAGATCAAATTAATGTCATAGTCTTTCAAGAAAGAAATTGATGTTACGAAAATGTATCAAAAGCAAGAAACAAAATGGGGTTTACTCTCTCTTTTTTTAACGAGAAATATTTTAATTCATATCTTACGAAATTAATGTGATATTAAATTTATTTTTTTGTTTTTATTTTTAATTGATATGTTTTTATTGATAATTACAAGAATATTGCATTATTTTTATTTTGTTTTTCATTGTCTCCTTTTTTTATCATTTTTTTAATAAAATCTTGAACCAATGAACAAAATAAATTAATGTGATATTGTTATAATTATTATTAAAAATTTATTAACTGAAAATTAAAAATAAGACAAAATAAACAAACTAAAATTATTAAGGACACGTGGATTATGTTATTAAGATTTATAGAGATTCAAGCAAGTTTCACATTTATAGAGATAATTTATAACCAAATTTTAATTAAAAATAAAACATTTTTCCTTCATATACATTTTTTAGATATTACTGAATATGTAAAATTGACGAAAACAGAGCCTTAATTTACAGAATAGAGGATGTGTTGCCAAATTGAGAGAGGTTGAGATGAGAAGGCCAATGACTTTTATTAATGTCTATTGACTGAAAATGAAGGGAATAATGACTCATGCATGCATATGGTGTTCATAGAGTCCATTTCTTTTTTTCAATAACATACGGAAAAAAATAAAGGGGCATGTTACTAGGGTTTTTTTTACCCTTTTGTCCTTTTTAAAATAAAAATTATCAGTATGTCTTTATTTTTATACTATTTAAAAATTTGACATTTTACTAAAACTTAATATTAATTTTGACCGTTGACTGTTTGATGTAATCGATTATATAAGTCATCTAACCGATTAGATGGCTCAAATTTACTTTAAAATTTTAAAAGATCATAACTTTTAACTTGATGGTCTGAATCAGGTGTTTTTTTTATTTCACTTAACTTTTTTAGATATATATGTTGGAATGATTATTTTTTAGTATTGAAAAGTGAAAATAAAAATAAGAATTAAATAACATCATCCACAGAAATAAAATATGTCAATGAGGCACAAGAAAGCATTTTTTGGAAGAAGAAAAAAATGACAAAGTCCCCTTTGGATACTTGCCAGCGCATTCGTCTCAAAAAGTTATCAAAAAAAGAATCACCTGATTCGGGCACTCGAGGCCAAAGTGATGGCCTTCCAAAGTTTTACAGTAAAATATTCCAAATTTAGTGCCACGTTAGGTCTTGTGATACCTCAAAGCCCCTCCTCAAGTCCAATATTAAGAGTATATGACCTAGAAACTCGTTTGATCCAAAAAATCTCGTGGAAAAAAATTTATATGGCTTCGTTCGTTGATGTAATCGATTACTATATACTAATGTAATCGATTACATGGTCTAGTCAACGGTCAAATAGAAAAAGATTGATGTATAGTTTTGAGATTGGATAAAGTGGTAATTATTAAGTTAATTAGGGGCAAATGGGTAAAAAGAAAGCTAATATTACTCTCATGTTACATGAGAGAGAAATTCTCTCATGCACTTACAAATTAGAGGAGAGAGGACATAGAAAAAATATAGAGTGGTCTCACCTTTGATTTGTTAGTGCATTAGAGAATTTTTCTCTCATCTAACATGAGAGTAATATTCTCCAAAAAAAAACACTATAGACGACACATATGGGGGACTGCTACCCCTATAACATCATTCCTAACCAAAATTATACAGCCTTATGGGTGGAGTGTTCGCGGTCTAGATTGGATCGATTTTGAAGCAAAAATCATATGATCCAATCCCTTCAGTTTGATCATTTAATCATCCATTCAGTTTGGATTTATTTTTAAATCCAATCTAATCCAATTCAATCCAATTTTATTTGATTTGGATTGGATCGGTTTTTGATTTTTTGAAAAGCCTAAAATTTTAGTTTTACAAATCACTAGCTATATCAAATAAAGTCATTCAAAGTTATAAACTACTGAAAAATTCAAATCTTCAAAATAAAACAAGTCTTAAAACTCATGAAGAGTTAAAATGGATTAATAGACAATAAAAAACTAAAACAAGATAGTTTGCTATCAATAACATCCAAGACTCTAAGTCACCATCTTTCAAAAATAATAAATATATAATACATTGGATCAGTTTGGATTGTAAACCGAAAATCGATCCAATCCAATTAAAACAAGCAATTTTTTTCGGTTTTTGATTTTTTCGGTTTTTAGTTAATTTGATTATCAGTTTTTTAGTTCGGTCACCATGGTTTGAATTGGTTTGAATCGATTGATAAACATCCTTGTAGATTCATGGAACTCCTGAACTTGCCAATCAAAGGTGTGGGATCTAGTAGCCAACCAATCTGCAACTTGGTTACCTTCACGCACAGTGTGTGTAATCTATAAGGTCCAACCCTAATGATAAGGTTCTGAATCCTTGCTACCAGATTTGCCATAGGGTGTTCTTGGTTCACAACCATTTAAGATGAGGTTAATAGCCACCAAGGGGTCCCCCTCCAACCAAACTTGTCTGAAACCTGCTGCCCATTCCAGCTCCAGTCCTAGTAAACAGCTCCATATATAGTTCTGCCATTAGTTAGTTGTAGTATCCAAGATTTTTGGAGAAGCCCAAAATCCACTTTCCCGAAAGGTCCCTTAGAACTCCACCGTAGCGTACGCGCAAGCCTCCCTGCGAGGATGCCCCATCCACATTGACTTTAATCTGTTTTTTGTAATGAGAAGAAATGATCCCACTTACTATGGTGCACCAGCTCCTCCCACATGGCTCGAAAGCCAGGGCAGTCTCTGATAGCGTGGATGCCCGCTTCTGTCACCTCCTGACATCGAAAGCATATGGACTACACCGCCAAGTGTCATTGTTGTCTATTATCATTTGTGACGAGGGCCTCTCTTGTGAATAACCAGAGGAAAAATTTTATTTTTTCTGGACCCCTCCTCCCCTACTTCCAAACAATCTTCCAGGTGTTCCTTTCCTCGTTTCTTCTATGATGCACGATGACAGAATATGTAGAGCTAACCGAGAACCGGCCATCATGAGATCTATCCCAAATGGGCTTGTCCTTACCATCGTTATACTTGGGATGCAACACACCATTAATTTTCCCATTGACATGATATGGTAACAGGTGTCTGAAAAGGTGCCAATTCCATGATCCTGTCTTTGATACATAATCCACCACCTTCCATTGTATCTGATGAGTCGGCATTGGTTGAGTTACATGCGAAATCAAAGGATTGCAGTTTGGGACCTATCGACCGAGCCAGAATGAGGTGTTTTCTCCTACGTGCATCGGCATCGACACGGGACACGACACTCCGACATGTTAATTTTAAAAAATGTTAGATTTTGACACGTTAGGACACATTTTGATATTAAATAATATTTTAATTTTGTAGTGTATATTATATTTAATATTCAATAATTTAACAAAAAAATGAAGCTAAACTTATAATACCCTTCAATTTTACAAAGATACTTAAGATATCACAAATATTTATATTCACTACTAGAAAATAAGGTTTTTGCGACGGGCATTTTTCGTCGCAAATCTGGGAATTTCCGTCGCAAACACCATTTGCGACGGAAATTGTGACTGAAAAAAACTGTCGATAAAAACCTCATCGGAAATGAATTTTGCGACGGCATTTTCATGTTATGAGTTCCGTCGCAAATTGCGACCGAAAAAACTCGACACAAAACAATTATTTTCCATCGCAAACTACTAACATGAATACTGAGAATACCGTCCCAAATTACAACGGAATTTCCGTCGAAAAATTGTTCGTCACAAAGTAAATTAGGAAAAAACCCATCGCAAAGTTTGCGATGGAAATATATTACAAAACCGTCGCAAATTTGCGATGGAATTGTTGAAAATTTCATCGTAAAATTTGGATGCAATGAAAATCCCGTAACCATAAGAATTTGCGACGAAAATGTATTATAATACCGTCGCAAAATTTGGTCAACAAATGTACACCGTCTATTAAAAATTTGCGATGGATTAGTGAATATCGTCGCAATAATCTACAGAATTTGCGATGGAATTTGCATGAATTTCCGTCGCAAAATTATAAAAATAAAAAATATATTTAAATTGATTTATTTTCAAACCTGTAAACAATACAACCATAGCAAAAATACTTATGTTTCATTGAAACGAAATAACTAACAAATTATAATCTCATACAAACTAACAAATAATCCCATACAAACAAACACTATAATCTCATACAAACCAACACACTATAATCTCATACAAACCAACACTATAGTCTCACACAATTAGAAAAATGTATTAATAAAGATAGTCATAAACAAAAGTTTCGATACATCATGAGGTATGGGTGTGGGATGAGGATGAGGATAAGGATGAAGAGTCTATAGTCTTCTTCTTCTTCATCATCTTTTTCTGCTTCTTCTTCTCTTTCTTCTTCTCCATTTTGTTCAGCAATTTCTGCAACATATTATCCGTCTTTTTCTGTTTCTCCTTTTGTTGCCTTAGTTCGGTGTCCATTTTATCCCTTTCCTGCCTTAGCTCGGCGTCCATTTTTTCCCTTTGCTCCTTTTGCTGCTGTAATTCTGCCTCCAATTTAGCAGTCATTGCTCGCATTCTGGCGAGCTCATCTGCAATAATAACAACATATACTTAGGTCAATTGTTTTGTACTTAATTTAAATGGACTAGGTAGTGAAATTTTGAACAATTAACTATAAATGCCTTTACCTTCGGAAAAATTTGGAAGTTGTCTAGAGGGGCTCTTGGTTCTCTTGAAGCTGCTAGCAGA